TTCAAGCAGTTTGTAGCTACCAAGGGGCTTTATTTCCTAAAAAAACAATTGCTGCAATGCTTCTCAGAGAATGTCTGAGGAGCAACCAGCTGATCACATAGGGGGTTGTGCAGCAGGGACTGGTGAGAGAGAGCATTACCAGACAAGCTTGATTTCCATAAAAGCAAAAAACCATCTGACTCCATGGAGCTGACCTCTCAGTAGCAGGTGTCAGTTCTGCTGTCAGTGTGACTCAGCATGCACTCCCCTCAGCCCTGAGGTTAGTATCACAGACAAACAGGACTACATAAATCCACACTGAAATTTGCAGGCTTTCTGCAGTTCTGTAGTTGCTGCTAAGTCTCTTCTTTTGGATACTTGAAACATGGAAATAGATCAGAGATTGAGAGATCGGCTGTGAAACCAGAACAGTCTGAGCAGTGCTTAATTTGTGCCAGGGCTTGCAAAGGTTGAGTCCCGGCACCTCTAGGCTTGGCAGTTCATAGCCATGGCATCTCTCGGCTTGCTGCATCAGTTATGAAAGTAAACAAATTGCTTCAGCCCCTGCACCTCTTTCATTACAAATGAAGCACTGAGTCCGAGTGGCATCCTGACCCAAACACACCCCACCACCTAACACAACCAAACAGCCTGTCTATTTTAGCTTTTCAGACTGCAAGTATCACTGTGGCATTTCAAAGCTGATTTAAACCTACCAATAACCAAACAGCCCCTCTGTCTTTACCAGTATTATATTTACTAATAGCCTTACCGAAGTTAGAACTGGAAATTACCTATAGATCATCCAGTCCATCTGCTGCAGCCAGTGGAGAATTGTTTTCTAACACATTTTTTCTTGGGCTTTAGGCAGCCTAGCTTTAAAATTCCCCCCAAACTGGGACTTCTACCTCTTCCCTAAATTTTCCTTTCCTGGTTTCATCTTTAAAAACCTTGTTATACTCCCATGTATCACACTAACTAATTTGTCTCCTAGTAGTTTACACCCTTCATGTGTTTGTAAGTTCAAGCTTGCCCTAACCTCCCTAGAGTGGTCTCCTGGGGACAACGTATTTATCACTTTTAATCTCTCCTCTTAACCCAATGCCTGCAAACCCAAGGTCATTTTTGTTGCTCTTCTCTGAACTCCCTCCAGGTTGTTAATTTTAAATTATTTCTGCGTTGATGAGATATGAGCCCCTCACATAAGCCCATCTCCTCAACACGTTTAGAAGAGTCTTTTAGTTGTTTTAAGATCAAGTTAGTAATGAGCTGCCAATAATTGCCAGCAGACAAAGATCCCAGATCACCAACATTTAAAGAAACTCAAACAGCATCCTCAAACGTCAGTGTTTTACTGGGAATGAGCTGCTCAGAAACATATGCAAAATTCCAGGTCATAGCAGAGCTGGACAGAGTGCCACAGTGAATGGGGAGAACCACAGTGGTATAAAGAACGAGGAGTACCTGTGGCACCTTAGAGACTAAAAAATGTATTTGGGCATAAGCTTTTGTGGGCTAAAACCCACTTCATCAGATGCATGCAGTGGAAAATACAGTAGGAAGATATATATACACACACAGAGAACATGAAAAAATGGGTTCTGCCATACCAAATCTAACGAGACTAATCAATTAAAGTGGGCTATTAGCAACAGGAGAGAAAAAAAACGTTTGTAGTGATAATCAGGATGGCCCATTTCTAACAGTTGACAAGAAGGTGTGAGTAACAGTAGGAGAAAAATTACCATGCACCTTCTTGTCAACTGTTAGAAATGGGCCATCCTGATTATCACTACAAAAGCTTATGCCCAAATAAATTTGTTAGTCTCTAAGGTGCCACATGTACTTCTCGTTCTTTTTGCTGATACAGACTAACACAGCTACCACTCTGAAACCTGTCACAGTAGTATAGTAAACAAAGGAGCCAAGCCTCTGACTAGGATCTCATATCAATCTTTAAAGCATTCTATTTGTAAAGTGCCAAGCATACTAATGGTGTTGTACAAATAATAACTAATAGAGAGAATTTCTTGGGAGGACAGATGATACAGGCCTTGAGGTGGAGTGGGATGGGTATGTGCTGCTGTAGCAGATATTTTTCTCACTGTATTTTGCTGCTGTTGAAGTACTTTATGATTGTAAACCGCTATCGTCAGGGAATAAAGCCTGTGTTCTTTTTTGTATTTTAATTGAAATTAATAAATAAGAGAAAGATCTCCAATTTCAGACACAAGCCAACCCAGGACACACAATCCCTTCCCCAGCCAAAGGGCAATATCCTGACGCAGGGTGAAGACACCTGGATGCCTACAAAAATGGGGTTTGCTTTATTACTTCTCATGAATTTAATGACAGAGGCTGAAAATCCTCTGCTAAACCCCCTGTCCTTTAAATCTGATGTCTATAATCCCCAAACAGTGGGAAACAAATATTTATCTTATTAACAAGACTGGAATTACTTTTATTAGTTATGTCCACATTCACCAAACTGTCCCAAGTCAGACTGGTTTGAATCAGTTGTTAATGATGAACACAGCCACCATATCCCTGAATTTCAGGCTACATCACTGACTCAGAAAGGATAGAGTGGAACTGGAGAAGATTCAGAGAAGGGTAACAAAGATAATCAAGGGTATGGGAACAACTTGCATACGAAGAGACTAAAAAAGATTAGGGTTGTTCAGCTTAGAAAAGAAACGACTAAGGACAGATACAATAAAGGTTTATAAAATCATGAATAGTGTAGAACAAGTGAATAAAGAGGTGTTATTTACCTCTTCCCACAATACAAAAATGAGGGGTCATTCAATGAAATTAACAGGTAATAGGTTTAATACAAACAAGAAGTAGTACTTTTTCAAACTTCGCACAATTAACCCGTGGAACTCATTGCCAAGGAAGGTTGTGAAGGCCAAAAGTATAACTGGGTTTAAAAAAAACAAACGAACTAGATAAGTTCACTGAGGATTGGTCCAATCAGTGGCTATTCGCCAAGAGGGTCAAGGATGCAACCCCATGCTTGGGGTGACGTTAAACCACTGACTGCCAGAAGGCAGGAAGGGAAGATGGGGTGGATCACTCCAACTGCCCTGTTCTGTACACTCCCCTTGAAGCTCTGGTACTGGCCACTGTTAGAGACAGGATACTGGGCTAGATGGACCATTGGGTTGACCCAATATGGCAGCTCTTACGTTCTTACTAAAGCAGATGTGCAGAAGCGCCTGTGTATCTAACCTCACAGTGTGCAGTACAGGGGCCAGATCCCAAGCATGGCAGGACTGTCCCCAGAAAAGCACTTCATCATTTTAAAATCGATTCCTTGTATGAAAACTTGAGTGTGTCAGAGAACTCCAAAAACGTGATCCTGGGCCCTCTGGCCCCAGCAATCTCTGACATCCATATTCCATTACTTAATGATCTTTCTACTTCTATGCGAAATTATAGCAAGAAATGTTTAAACGTATGCACTGTAAAGGGAGGCTCCATTTGGGCAAATTTATGTAATTACAAAAAATTGGCTGAAAAAGCCAAATATAATTCTGAGTTAACTCTGGTGAAGTTAGTTGGTGCTCACCATCCAGCACTGGCCCCAAGGGACATATTAGATGACCTCACAGGCCTTTTCCATCACTAATTTCTAGAATGAGGAAGAGCTGCATAACTGCCTTTTTCAGTGGGTAGCAGAGTAATGGTCCAAACCTAGCCAATAACACCTGCCCCACCTTTCAGGGGTTCTGCACAATGGCAAGTTCTTAGTGGCTGCTTTTTTGTTTTATAAACCACAATGACACTCAGGATTCTCTAATTGGGAGCTGGAAAGCATGCTGCAGCTCTGACAGAAAAGGGAATGTGGAGGATGAGGTGATTGTCTGGTTTATTTTTATGAATATCATAATAATCAATCAGATACACTGAGATGTATATCTTGCCTGACTGCAAGCAGTTAATCAAAGGAAGCTTTTAGGAAGAAACAAATAGGAAATGAAACAATGACAGAGATAAGGTACCACCAGAGAGAATACCAAGTTTCCTTAAGACAGGTGCGGACAAACTTTTTGGCCTGAGGGCCACATCGGGTTTCCGAAATTGTATGGAGGACCGGTTAGGGGAGGCTGTGCCTCCCCAAAGAGCCAGGCGTGGCCCGGCCCCTGACCCCATCTGATCCCCCCCACACTTCTTGCCCCCTGATGGCCCCCCCGGAACCTCTGCCCCATCCATCCCTCCCTGTCCCCGATCGCCCCTGGAACACCTGCCCCTGACTGCCCCCCCCCACCCCATCCAACCCCCCTCTCCTTCCTGACTGCCCCCCCCGGAGCCTTGCCCCCATTCAACGCCCCTGTTCCCCACCCCCTGACAGCCACCCCGAACTCCCCTGCCCTCTATCCAACCCCCCTTGCTCCCTGCCCCCTTACCGCGCTGCCTGGAGCACCGGTGGCAGGCAGCACTACAGCTGTGCCACCCAGAGCACCAGGACAGGCGGCCATGCTGCCCTGCTGGAGCCAGCCACGCCACCATGCAGTACAGAGCACCGGGTCAGGCTGCGGCTCTGCACCTGCACTGCCTGGCAAGAGCGTGCAGCCCCGCCGCCCAGAGCATTGCACCGGTGGCGCAGTGAGCTGAGCCTGTGGGGGAGGGGGAACAGCAGGGGAGGGGCCGGGGGCTAGCCTCCTGGGCCAGGAGCTCAGGGGCCGGGCAGGAGGGTCCTGCCCGGATGTGGCCTGCGGGCCGTAATTTGCCCACCTCTGCCTTAAGGGAACAATAGGGGATTTATTAACTCGGAAACACCCACCTGCTGGGTTCCAGCCAGGCTAGCAGGTTTACTTATCCTGGGCTTGAACCTAAGATCAAAAGGGCACTAAACCGTTAAAGACTCCATTCTAGAGAGGAAGTGGGAGAAGGGGGTGAGTGCGCAGCAAGGACTGGAGGTGAATCTTTGTCAGACAGATATTGATGGGATGCTGAAAGGGCTGTGTCTCTCTCCTAGTGCAGGAGTAGCAATGACTGGGCTGAGTGAAACTTACCTAAACTTTATTCTTTTCTTGCAAGTTTTGGGTAAGGTGTACAGGCCTTTTGTTGTTTTATCCCTTTTCTCTGCTTGCTGTGTACCTGTGGTTGAATAAATAATATTTGGTTTTGAAGTATCTTTAATTAGCCACTGGTCACAGCCTACCAAAGGAAAAGGGCTTACAGGTGTCAAACATAGCTGGACCTGTCATAGTCTCACGTAAGCAGGGGTGCTGCAGCCCAGAGACTGAGTCTATGGCCTGGTCTACAGTGAGGAGCGGGGGCGGAGAGCAATCTAAGTTACGCAACTTCAACTACGTGAATAACGTAGTTGAAGTTGATATACTTAGATCTACTCACCGCAGTGTCTTCACTGCGGTGAGTCGACTGCTGACGCTCCCCCATCGACTCCACCTGCGCCTCTCGCTGTGGTGGAGTACCGGAGTCAACGGGAGAGTGCTCGGCAGTCGATTTATCGCATCTAGAATAGACGCGATCAATCGACCCCTGCTGCATCGATCGCTGCCCATCAACCCAGCAGGTAATGTAGACGAGCCCTAGGAGTGGTAGAACTACATGGTTCCACCCAGAGATGGGTGAAGATAATAAAACCTGTCACCAGAGGGGTGTAATTCCAAAGGACATAAAGAGATCTAATGAGCAGCTTGTCCTGTAACTGTGACAAGGACTTATAACCTGAATGTAGCACCTTCTCTTTGAGATGTTCTTTTTCTCCATAACTGGGAGGCACTAATGAAGCTTGACTCTGATGGAGTTTGAGAGCAGCGTGTGGGAGGAAGACAATGATCAGGTAGACAGAAGTGCCACAGACAGAAGTGGTACTACGGATAGAAGATGCAAACAATGAAGCATTTCTCTCTCATATTACTCAGCTGAAAGTGGATTTGGTGCCAACCAAGTTTCAGGATGACCTTCCATATTGATATTCTACTTCTGCTAATTCCCAGCAGACACATACACATGACTTTTCTTCCTACTTATTTTAAGCATTTCCAGCAGATAGCAGCAACAAGTCCTGACAGGCAGTAAATTCCCATGTGATTATTGCAGTCTTAAGCAAACTGAAGTACCTAGAAGTTCCAGTGTGCCCCATGTGGGCTGGAACTACCAGGAATGTTCAGTCTCATTTTATTGCTTGCAGAAAAATGTATCCCCACATCAAATTAAGTGACACCAGCTCCATTAGCACGTTAAGTTCATGTCATTGCAACATTATATTCATATGTGACACAATGATTACTTGCAAAAGCTGGTATATAAATTCAATTAAAAGGAGCACAAATTATTATAAAGCAGTATTCCATTTAGGCAAAGTTATTTGCATAGCATGGGCTAAAGTTTCAAATATATTGTCTAAATTGTGCCAGCAAAAACAAGTGTGCCCATTGTTTTATGGATTAAGAGGCCTCTGCACACACATCTGTGGTTCCCTAATCTAGGTGCACATTTTGTTCAGGTGTAAATTAGGTACCTAAACTCGAAAATACTGTGGATGTATATTATATATGGAGACCTGTATGTATATATGGGTGTGTGACTGCACAGTTTGATAATCCATTTAATTAGTTCATGTTTGATTAAATGCCTTACAGCTCTAATTCTCTTTTACAGGGCACATAGAAAGATAATTGTCCAGAGCAGCTGTAATCTCCTCAACCTGGGCAGCTGCTTCTGAGTTGTGGACTTTGTGAGTCCCATTTAGAGAGAAAAATGAGGGTAGTATGGATAGTTTATACTCCCAAAAATATTATAAAGTAATATACAAGGTCTGCATTAAACCAACTGGCCAGAAATGCAGAACTGGTTCTGGAACTCCATCCTCATCCAGCTGCTGTGCCTTGCTATTTCAGTTAATTAGTATAGGAAATTACTATACCTGCCCAAAGGAGCCCAGAATAGCTGCCTTCCCCAGTCACAATGGGTGGAATTTCAGCCTTAATGTAATGCAAAGGCTCCTCATTAGAGTATAAGCCAAGAACTTTTAAAATTCATTTGTTATTTTATTAACAGCTGCAGGAGGAAGATATATATCTAGCACATACATTAAAAAAATATACATCTGCATATTTCCCAGATAGTTTTTTAAAAAACAGCCAGGACGCCACGAGAATATCCTACTCTCTCAGAGCTGCATCCATCATTCACAGTAGCTAGCAAGTCTTTAACAAAGCAGCCCAGAAGAACTGGGCTTTCAAAGGAACCCAAAAAGCCAGAACCAAAAATTGGCAACAGATATGAAAGCAACAGAGAGCAGCTTTAAAAACATCATCTTGTTGCCTGATTGGAACCTAAAAGCAGCAGTATTGTGTTCTGAGCATCAGTCCCTCATGGGGAAGTGAAGGGCATTCCAGAAGCTCAATAAAGAGATCTGGGTGACCTATAAACAAAGCAAGATGAGAGCTGAGGCAGGAGATACATACATAACCATAAGAAGATGAAAATGAACAAATGCCTTGCAGATCTCATCGTAATGCAGCGCAGCCACCCTGGTTCTGGGCCTTGCAGACTGGGCACATGAGCATAAACTATTCAGAAGGCCTGCAAATCATACAGGGAGAAAGCTAAAACCCCATGTCTGGGTTTCTAGCTCAATATCTTCTAGGAAAGAGTCCAAATCTATGAAAAATCCAGGTCTCCTGAAAAACAGTGTCAGACACTCCCCCAGTGCAGCACTGTTAGTGGGAAACTGCCAGAATGATGGAACATTACAGACAGAAACAAGCTGATCCTGGGGGGGCAGGGGGGGTCCCCACAGTGTTTTGTCCAGTCAATTCTACCTATACTAAGAACTATACAATGTAAACATTTGATATTTAATTGTAAACTTAAAGTCACTCTCTAATTTCCCTAAAGGCCAAAGATACTGAATATGTTCAACCACAGGAGTAATTTTTCTATGGATTTTGGTATTTGTGCTGATATTTACATTTGGAACTTTTAAAAAATAAATAAATTTAAAAGTGATATTGCAAGTGACAGGTCTTGAACCAGGAGGAAATTCCACAGTAAAACACATCTGAATCAAGATTTTCCTGCTATTTAGGACCCATTTCCCCCTCATTAACGTAATCCCATTCCCTCCTTGTCAAATCCTGAATAATCTCTCACCCCTTTCACTGTTTACAAACTTCCAATAATTGTGAACTTTTATGTTCCCTTAGTTGTCACTTATCCAACTGACACAATTTAGCTCTTTTGATCTTTCCTCATAAATCAATCCCTCCAGCCCCTTAATCACTTTTTTTACTCTTCTCTGAACTCCCTCCAGTAATGATGTGATCATAATCCTCAAAAAGGAGAGGCTTTGGCTTTAGTTCTTCCCCACAAACGCACGCAAATTCTCAGGCATTTCACAAGCTTCATGCATACTGCTGTCACCAGCTGCCAAGCACTAGACCATGACACTGAAACAAAGATGGAATTGTCTCAAACATCAGCAATGCCAGAAACAGAATGGCAAACAAATGCAACACAATACAAACTAAAACAATAAAGTGATCAACCTTAACCTTGTCAACAGGGTACAGTGCATCAGATGTAAAGGCTAGATTCAGAACACAGACTAAAAGCTGCTTGCTGGAGTTTTTGCAGAAGCTGGGGTGATAGCCCCCGTGTCCTGAACAACTGCAATTAATGTAACAATCAGCATCATTATATTCACTCTGAAGTTCAAAATGGATCTTGTAAACTATTCCATGTCCTTATCTAACTTCTTGTGCAGTGTTGTTGTGAGCTGTTTAATAGCTACCATGTTCCATCCTGTGGTGGCTGCATTTCACTGGTGAATGGCATGACCCCTGCATATACTGCTAAAGTGCTTGGCAATCCTCCAAAAGTGGAGATGGAGATGCTATTAGTATTATTATGCATTTTTTGCATGAGTAGCACTCGAAGGCCCCAATCAGGATCAGGGCCACACTGTGCTAGGTATGGCACGTAAACACAGGAAGACAGACACTGCTCTAAAGAAAAGTGTGTTACCTTTTCCATAACTGGTGTTCTTCGAGATGTGTTGCTCATGTCCATTCCATATTAGGTGTGTGTACTCGACACATGCACTGGTGCCAGAAGTTTTTCCCTCAGCAATATCCATAGGGGAGTGGCTCTGGTGCCCTCTGGAGTGCCACCGGCTCCCCCCAACCTCAGTTCCTTCTTGCCGGAAACGGTGGGGAATGAGGGCAGGTTGTGGAATGGACATGAGCAACACATTTTGAAGAACACCAGTTACAGAAAAGGTAACTGTCTTTTCTTCTTCGAGTGCTTGCTCAGGTCCATTCCATATTAGGTGACTCCAAAGCAGTACCCCTGGAGGTGAGTAGGAGTTCATGGATGTGTAAATTGCAACACAGCACTGCCGAACCCAGCGTCCTCCCTGGCCTGCTGAGTGATGGCATAATGAGCCGTGAACGTGTGGCCAGAGGACCACGTCACCGCTCTACAGATATCCTGGATAGGGATGTGTGCCAGGAAGGCTGCCTAAGACACCTACACTCTAGTCGAGTGGGCTCTGACAATCGGCAGCAGCAGAACCTCTGCCAGGTCATAACAGGTCCTTATGCACGAGGTGATCCAATTGGAAATCCTCTGCGAGGATTCCGGAAGGCCCTTCCTCCTGTCCGCTGTAGCGATAAAGAGTTGAGTTGATTTACAGAAGGGCTTGGTATGTTCTAAGTAAAGTGCCGAACCAATGCTGGCGAGATTGCCAGAGCAATCACGACAACCTGCGCTTTGTCTCTCTTGATCTTTGTCAGGTCCCTGCTGATGAGTAGAATTGGAGGGAACGCGTACATCAGGCTCCCTGACCATGACAGGAGGAAGGCATAGGAGAGGAAGCCCTTGCTCAGACCTTGCCAAGAACAAAACCGATGGCATTTCCTGTTCTGTCTGGTAGCGAACAGATCCACTTGGGGAGTTCCTCACCCTTGGAAGATCATGTAGGCTACCTCTGGATGGAGTGACCACTCATGGGGAGAGAAGTCCCTACTGAGCAGGTCAGCCAACATATTCTTAATGGTGGGAAGGTGACAAGCTTCCAGGTGATTTCGTGGCTGATGCAGAAGTCCCACAGACGGAATGCCTCT